AATACCAAGAAACTGGCACTTGAAAGTAGGAGGGGTTAAGGGGGAGCGGGTAACTAATGAGTAACTTATTAGGATAAGAATCTCATAGACTTTCCTTTATGAGCTGGCCTCAAACTGTGATCCTCAGCCTCCTGAATAGCTAGGATTTTTACAGGCATGAGCCATCAGTGCCCAGCAAATTTTGTTTATGTTTTTAAAGAAGAAAAATAATGATAGGCAGACTTAATATAGTGAAAATGGCCATGCTGCCAAAATTGATGTACAAATTCAACATATTTCCTATTAAAATCCCAATGATTTTCATTACTGAAATACAGAAAACAGTCCAAAAATTCATATGGAACAACAAAAGACCTAGAATAGCCAAAACAATTCTAGGCTCAAAAGACAACATGGGAGGGATCTTGATGCCAGACTTCAAACTCTACTATAGAGCCATAATAAAAAAGACAGCTTTTTACTAGCACAAAAACAGAACTGAAGACCAATGGAATAGAATAGAAGATCCAGAAATAAAACCACCAACTACAGTCAGCTGATATTTGACAAAGGAGCCAAAGACATACAGTGGAAGAAACACAGCCTCTTCAACTACTGGTGCTGGGAAAACTGGGCGGCCACATGCAGAAAATTAAAAGTGGACCCCAGCCTGTCACCATACCCTAACATCAACTCAAAATGGATTAAAGACCTTAACATCAAACCTGAAACTCTGAAACTATTGCAGGACAGAGTAGAAGAGACACTTGAACTTATAGGCACAGGCAGGAACTTCCTGAACAGAGTCCCAGCGTCACAACAAATTGGAGAGAGACTCGACAAATGGGACTACCTTAAAATAAAAAGTTTCTGCACAGCTAAAGACATAGCAACCAAACTAGAAAGACAGCCAACTAACTGGGGAAAAATATTTACCGGCAATATATCAGACAAGGGGTTAACATCCTGTATATACAGGGAACTCAAGAAAAGATTCCCTCCCAAACCTAACAAACCAATTACTAACTGGGCAAGGGAGCTAAAGAGAGATTTAGAAGAAGAGATAAAAATGGCAAAGAAACACATGAGGAAATGTTTATCAACCCTGGTTGTAAAGGAAATGCAAATAAAAAAACAACCCTGAGATACCACCTTACCCCAGTCAGAATGGCCCGCATCCTAAATTCAGCCAGCGAGAAATGCTGGAGGGGATGTGGAGAAAGAGGAACCCTATTACACTGCTGGTGGGAATGTACACTAATACAACCACTGTGGAAAGTAGTCTGGAGGTACCTCAGAAAGTTAAATATAGACCTCTCCTATGACCCAGCCATACCACTCCTAGGCATCTATCCTGAGCAACAGGAACCAGGATACAAGGACACATGCCTCTCCATGTTCATTGCATCACTGTTCACAATAGTCAGGATATGGAAACAACCCAGATGCCCCAATACAGATGAATGGATCAAAAAAAATGTGGTACCTATATACAATGGAATATTATGTAGCCATTAGAAAAGACAAAATAATGGCACTCACAGGATGGAGCTAGAAAAAATAATTTTGAGTGAGGTAAGCCAAGAGCAAAAAGACAAACAACACATGGTCTCCCTGATAAGTGGATGTTAAATCCAAAATGTAAGGTGATATGACAAAGTAAACAAGACACAAGAAACAAAGGACCTCCACTCATCTTGTCGAATCATTACTAAATGACTCTGTGCTGCTGACCACGTATATGGCATATATGTGCACATCTGAGGGAAACTAGGAGGAGGACACAGAAACAGAGGGAAGAAAACATACAACAGCGGGACCCATCAGCTGCACTAGATATTGATCAAAACGAACTAAGCAACTCAATGGCAGCAATGGGAGGGAGGGAATGAGTGGGAAAGAGGGAACAGCTGACATTATGCAAAAGGAAAGAAATATACATATCACCTGATGTGGAAGAAATAACTGTATTGTCAAAGCTCATAGAACTCATAAACTTTATAGATCATGATAAAGACAATTTGCCCCATGAAGGTTAGAATGTGTTTGTGACTTTATCACTATCTCACAATACTGTGAAATTTGTTAAATTTATGTAATCACTTAATCCCAATTAAAAAATTGCAAAAGAAAGAAGAAAAATAATGGTCACTCTGATTATTTGTAATTATTGCCTACCACATTTTACAGACTAATATTTTCAATCATTTATTATACCTTGAATAACATATATTGTACATTTTTCATTGATGAGTATTGTAAATGTAATCATGTATTAACAGGTCTTCCCCTCAAGTTTGTTAGTCTACTGGGAATAATTAAACATAGTATTCAAATAAAATGTTACATGTCATCTGGTATGGTTGCACACTTCTCTTAAATTCCAGCTATGTGGGAGATGGAGATAAGACAATCCTGGTTCAAGGCCACCTGAACAAGATATTAGCAAAGTAAGTTATTGAACTAAACTCCAGGAAATGAAAAAGAGGTTTTTCTTTGTTGTTTTCTTTTCTTTTCTTTTTGTCTTGTTTGTTCATTTAGCTATCTTTGGGAGGGTAAGGGGGACACAGAAATGGAGGATTAAAGGGTGAACAAATGCAGCAGTGGTACTCACTAGACACTGTGTTGAAAATTAAAAATACAACTTGTGGGTAGGATGTGAGGGAAAAATCTATGAATGAGGGAAGCGGTGACACTGTTCAAAAAGAAATGTACTCATTACCTGACTTATATAACTAAAACCCCTCTGTCCATCACCTTTATAATAACAACAAGATATATTATAAAAATAAGATATATCCTCAAACCATTACTAGATTTCAAAAAAAATCTCATGGCCAGGTGCTGGTGGCTCATGCCTATAATCCTATATACTCAAGAGGCTGAGATCTTAGGATCATCATTTAAAGCAAACTTGGGCAGAACAGTCCAAGAAACATTTATCTCCAATTAATCATCCAAAAAGCCAGAAGTGGAGCTGTAGATCAAGTGATAGAGTGCTATCCTTGAACAAAAGAAGATCAGGAACAGTGCTCAGATACTGAATTCCAACTTCAGGACTCAGATAACAACAAAAAAAATCATGATAATGGCCATTCTAACTGGAATGAGGCAGAATTTCATTGTTGTTTTGATTTGCATTTCCTTTATGGCCAGAAATATTGACCATTTCTTCATGTGTTTATTGGCAATTTTTACTTCTTCTGAGAAGACTTTTTAGCTCATTAGCTTATTTATTATTTGGATCATTGGTTTTTGAGAGTTTAATTTTATGAGTTTTCTGAATATTCTGGATTTTAGGCCATTGTCTAATGTGTAGCTGGCAAAAATCTGCTTCCATTTTGTAGACTTCCTTTTTAGCTTATTAGCTATGTCCTTTGCTGTGCAGAAAATCTTTAGTTTGATGCAGTCCCATTTATCAAATCTTTCTTTGATTTGCTGTGCTTCTGGATCTTTTTGGGGGGGGAGGGGGGTCCGGTCATGGGGCCTGAACTCTGGGCCTGGGCGCTGTCCCTCAGCTCTTCAGCTCAAGGCTAGCGCTCTACCACTTGAGCCACAGCACCACTTCCGGCTTTTTTTATTTTTGCTTATGTGGTGCTGAGGAACCAAACCCAGGGCCTCTGGCATGCAAGGCAAGCACTCTACCACTGAGCCACCTTTCCAGCCCTGCTTCTGGATCTTTACTCAGATAGTTTCAGCCTATGCCCCGGAACCCTAATGTTTCTCCTACTCCATCCTGTAATAGTTTCAAGATTTCAGGTCTCACATTGAGGTCTTTATCCATTTTGAGTTGATTCTGGAGCAAGGTGGTATATAAGGAGGTAGTTTCAGTTTTCTGCATGTGGATGGCCAGTTTTGCCAGTACAGTTTGTTGAAGAGGCTGTCTTTCTTCCAGGCTATGTTTTTGGCTCCCTTATTGAATGTTAAATAGCTGTGGAGCTGTAGGTTTATATCTGGGTCTTCTATTCCATTCCATTGGTCCTCAAGACTGTTTTGTTTTGTGCTGTTTTTATTACTAAGGTTCTGTAATAGAGTTTGAATTTTGGTATTGTTATTCCTCCAATACTATTCTGCCTGCTAGGATTGCTGTTGCTATTCAGGGTCTTTTTTGTTCCACATAAATTTTTGGATTGCTTTCTCTATCTCACTTAAGAATGTTGTTGGGATTTTGATGGGTATTGCAATTGTTTTGGGAAGCATTTCCATTTTCACAATGTTAATTCTTCCAATCTAGGAACATATAAGTTCTTTACATTTCCTTAAAGCTTCTTTAATTTTCTTCTTTAAATTTTTAAAGTTTTCACTATAGAGGTCCTTCAATAAGAGATGCTGGCAAGGATATGGCTAAAAGGGAACACTAATTCACATGGTGGAAATATAAATTTGTTTAATCACTCTGGAAAGCAGTGTGAAGGTTCCTCAAAAAAAAAATAAACATAGAACTACTCCATGACACAGCAATTTGACTCCTGAGCATTTCCCAAGAGATTACAAACCAGAATATAATAAAGCTATCAGCACAATCATGTTCATTGTAGTACTATTCACCATAGCTTAGATATGGAATCAGCCCAGATGAATGGATCAAGAACTTGTGGTACATATACACAATGGAATTCTACTCATCCATTAGAAATAATAGTATTGTACTACTTATGAAGAAATGGAAATACCTGGGAAAATTACATTAAGTAAGTCAAGTTTGAGTAGACTGGGATCAAAGGTAAATAGGTAGATGAATGTAGAGAGGAGAAGGGGAGAAGGCTTTCAAGAATCCAATATATATCATACAAAATTAAGAAGAATGAAAGAAGAGAGGGATGGGTGAGAATGTTGAAGTGTCATAAACTGCTGTGTTAAATGGCAACTCCTTTGTACAACTAATCTTAAAGGTAAAAGAAAATAAAAAATCAGTCAATCATTTTGAGGCTTTTAAGATGAGAGTCAGCATCCTGTGAAAGGTAGTATTGGACCTGGATCTCCAAGTCCTTCCCAACCAGGACCCCATTACGTGGGTGATTTCACAGCAGGGATGAAGAAGTTCTGCCAAAGAGTTTCCCCAGAGCAGCCTTTATGTCCCGGTTTCTCAGACTGTAAATGAACGGATTTAACATTGGGGTCACTGCTGTGTACATCACAGTAACCACTGCATCTTTAAGGCTATATCTGGTCAAAGGTCGGAAATACATGCCCATGACTGTCCCATAGTACAATGAAACCACAGTAAGATGAGAGCCACAGGTGGAGAAGGCTTTGAGTATACCCTTAGTGGATGGAACCCGTAAGACAGTGGCAAAGACCCAAACATAGGAGATAATGATACACAGAAATGGCAATGAGAAAAGGCCAACCCCAAGGTACATCATCTTCACATTCAAGTGGATGTCAGAGCAGGACAGCTTGAGCAAAGGTGCAATGTCACAGTAGAAGTTGGCCACTTCCTTGTTGCCACAGAAAGAAAGACTAGCTGTAAATACAGTGTGGGGAAAGGAATTGATGATTGCAACTGCCCAAGACGCAACAAGCATCAGGACACAAGAACGGGGTCTCATAATCATTGTATAATGAAGAGGGCGGCTGATGGCCACAGCTCGATCAATTGCCATTGCAGCCAGGATATAGCTGTCTGTGTTAGCCAAACCTATCATGAAATCCATCTGTGTGAGACATCCAGCAAAGGAGATGACTCTGCTACCCACGAGATGGTTGGCCAGCGTCTTGGGGATGGTGACAGATGAGAAGAAGATGTCTACAAAAGAGAGATTGACAAGGAAGAAGTACATGGGATTATGGAGGCGAACATCAGAGAGAATGGCCAGGATGATGAGCATGTTTCCAACCAGTGTGATGGGGTAAATGAGCAGGAAGAGGATGAAGAAGATGTCTTCCTGTTCCTGCTGTCCAGTCACTCCCAAGAGGATGAAATCTGTGGTAGCAGACTGGTTTTCTTCTCTCATGGCTCCTTCAACAAGGAAGGGGAAAGGAATCCAGAATTATTAATTTGGTTACTGAGTATAATAATCTTTCGTTGCCAACATATTTTACTCAAAAAGTCAGCTGTCTTTACCCCTAAGTTTATCAAATCCCCACCATTCAGAGCAAACTTCCTGTTTATCAACAGGAGTAAATGCTTTTACATTCCTATCCAGAAAGAGCAATCTATGAATCAGAGGTAGATAACCATTCCCACAAGCATCTAGCCATCTCTAATTTTCATTCATCTTCTAGGTCCTAGAGTCTTGTTACAGTTCATGAGCATGGGAGAAAAAATGTACATTATCTATCCATTCAATATCTAAGACACATTCTCTGCTCCCAAGAATCTTACAGTATTTGGGTGAAACTGGAATCACACACTTGACTTTACCTTATCGATGATAAGGTACCTTATCCATGATAAGATAGCATTTTGGAGTCTTTGACAAAGTTTTCTAGTGCAAGGGGTCTGTTAGGAAAGGGACTCACTTGGAATTTGCTCCTTCAACCAATTGCTTCTTCAATCAATCTTATAGTGACTCCAGACTCCAGGAGGTGCTAGGGGCCTACTCTACTTTGGTGGGTGATAAGACAGGGTTTATTATTAGATGATTAGATTTTGGTGCTACCAAAATTACCCTGATGAAGTTTCTCCCCAGTTGCTTCATTTACAAAGCTGATTTTTACATCTCCTTTAATAGACATTTCCTGTTTGGAAAACACTCAAATACACATAAAACCACAATCACAATGTTTTTCTCTCGGTCTTCCTTTCCTGTTTCATTTAGTTTTTTGCATGGCTCACACACTCCTAGTTGTATTTCTGGAGGCTTGAGGTCTCTCTCTTCACCACAGTTCCATGTTCGGGCATCCTGCCAACATGACTGACCCAACCACACACTCTGCAACATAGCCTAAACCTACAAGATTTGGCAGCGGGAAGAGCATATATTGTTTATCTCCTCCAGAATGACTATTATGGAGTACTGGTCACTTCCACCTGAGGTCAATTTGTACTCAATATTATTTGAGTCAAACACTTGCTTATTCTTTGCATTCTCCATCTCGCATATGCTTGCAAGCACAATTACCCAATTTGTCTCTTTCTGGAACATCTATCTGATTTTATTGAGTCTTTCATTTACATTAATGATTACATACCTCTGTGTTCCTACTTGCTTTGCCTTAGACCAGCATGCTTTTCTTCCTGAATATTGGAATGCTCTGGTTAACTGCTCCACTACAGGTTCCTTCTTCTTTGATCTATTTTGCACTCTCAGGCATAAGAATTACAGAAGAATCCACTATAACTTGCTTCACCAAATTTATGCTGTCCTTTTCTTGTTTGGACACTGAATTAACTACATTTCTCCCTTGTAGTAAGGTATGCCCACACAGGCACTTCAGATGTGATCTTCCTTCACACTCTCTCCTATGCCCATGGTTTAGGTAGGATGAGTGTGGATCCTGGTTCTCCACATCCAGGAAAACTATCCACCACCAAAACTTCCAGCTTGAACTGTTTCATAGAAAGAATATATTGTCTTAGCCAGGCACCAGTGGCTCTTGCCTGTAATCTCAGGAAGCTGAGATCTGAGGATCATGGTTCAAAACCAGCCTGGGCAGGAAAGTCCATGAGACTCTTATCGCCAATAAACCACTAAAAAAAACTGTTAGTGGCTTTTGTGGCTCAAGTGGTAGAGCACTAGTCTTTCACTAAAGAGCTGAGGGATAGCACCTAGGCCCAGAGTTCAAGCCCCATGACTGACAACAAAAAAAGGAAAAAACAAAATGCTTAAATAAGGATACAGGTTGACCCATTGTAACAATGAGATGTACAAAGTATTATGTTGAAAACAAATTTTACAACTTGGGGCAGGGGAGGGGCCTACTTGTGGACGTGGGAAGGAAGGGATGGTAGGGGAAAAATAAAGGAAGAGGCAACAATGCTCAATAGGAAATGTACTCATTACCTTGCTTATGTAACTGTAACCCCTCTGTACAGCATTTTTACAAAAAAAACATACAAGAAATTCATTATCTTACTCTTTTTTAAGCATCTTTATATTTTGTGATGAGTTTGCAATTCTAGTGGATACTGTAGGTAATGCAGTATTTTTTCTATCTACTAAAAATTGATTAAATTCATACCAAATTCAATCAAAAATAAATATGTGTTTCTTCTAGTACAGATGTAAATTATACATGAGGCATTTGGAGAATAGGTCCAGTTATTTTTGTCACAGCTAATAATGATGTGTTTCCTTATCTGTGCATCTAAGATAGTTTGGTTTTGTTTCTTAGGACTCCTTCCCCTTCTTCACAAGAAATCACAGTATCCCATGTTGAAAGGATCAGCAAACCTGGAGGGCTCAGAGACTATGATCATCTCCTACAATAAGGAGGAGGAAGATTTCAGAGCTGGGCTCCTGGCAACACATCATACTAAGCTGATATGGACTAGTCTCATTTCTATTAAAACCCATAGAAATTAGATATATAGGAAGTTTAAAACTATCAAAACATAACCCCTATGTACAGTATTTTTGCAATAAAAAAACTTACTAAAAAACTATCAAAACATAAATCTAATCTTTAGAGAGAAAGAGATAGAAGAGAGAAAGAGACAAAGAGGAGAGAGAGAGAGAGAGAGAGGAAAGAGAGAGAAATGGGATACCAAAAGAAAAGTAAGAGCTTTGTAAAGAACACTGTGGTGGCCCTGTGGGGCCTGCAAATATGGATTCAGTGGGCACTGAGGATGGGTATAGGGTGAATTTCTTTAGTACAAGAGCTACAGCCTTAGATCACACAAATAATAGGGATTAATAGTCTCTGTAAGGTGATATTAACCAAGATGTATTGGGTTTATAAACTGATTTGTGGAATTAAAACCTCTTTGTACAACTACTTAAAGATATTTTAAAAAAAAACAGAAGTGAGCTTGGCACTGGTAGCTCAAGCCTGTAATCCTAGCTACTCAGGAGGCTGAGATCTGAGGATCATGGTTCAAAGCCAGCCCAAGAAGGAAAGACCATGAAACTCTTATCTCCAATCAACCACCAGAAAACCAGAAGTGGCACTGTGGCTCAAGTGGCAGAGCGCTCACTTTGAGCTGAAGAGTGGAGGGACATCACTCAGGTCCAGAGTTCAAGCCCCATGACCAACAAAAAAAATAGTTTGATTAACATAGTTTATTAAAAAATAGTCTCTGTAAGAAACACCTGAAGGGGCTGGGAAGGTGGCTCAGTGGTAAAGCACTTGCCTTGCAATGAGGCCCTGGGTTCGATTCCTCAGCACCACATAAGCAAAAAGAAAAAAGCCAGAAGTGGCACTGTGGCCCAAGTGGTAGAGCGCTAGCCTTGAGCTGAAGAACTGAGGGACGGCACCCAGGCCCAGAGTTCAGGCCCCACAACCGGACCCCCCTCCCAAAAAATCTGAAGTTTCCCAATATGTTGAAAAGAATAGGAGAAAGAGTTTTGCCCTGTAAGAATTGGTAGGAAAAGAAAATAGAGAATGCACAGAAAATATGATTAATTACAAAGAAGATCCAGAGAAACCTCTAGGCAGAGATTTCAACAAGTCTGTGTTCTAAAACAAATACATAAAAAACTAATACTGTTCTTAGACATGGGAAACATTGAATTAGAAAAATGTCACTTCTAAAATCTTCTCATTCAAAAAGTGCAATAGAAAAAAAATTAAACTATTAGATATAATTCTAACATACAGATTAAAAAATTAGGTGATAAACTTTAATGAAGATTAAAAGGAAGTTGGGTGCCAATGGCACCCTGTAATTACTCCTGTAATTCTAGTTTCTCAGAAGGCTGAGCTAAGGATCACAATTTGAAGCCAGCCTGGATAGGAAAGTCCCTTAGACTCCTTCCTCCAATAAGACTACAAAAAAAAATGTTGGAAGCAAAGCTGTGGCCCAAGTAATAGAGCATTAACCTCGAGAGAGAAAAAAAAAGCTCAGAAACAGTGCCCAGGTCCTGAGTTCAAGCCCCAGGACTGGCAACAAAAAAAATGGCATGACACATTGTAATAATTCAAACTCTGGCAGAATACAGGCCAAGACATACCATGAGATTAACCAATGTAACAGACTTGAGGAAGCAGGCAGAGATGAAGTCTTTGTTGGATATAGTTTATGATGTGGACTGGTTTAAAAATAGGCAGAGGAAATGACTGACTACCAAAGAGTTGTAGTAAAAATGGGTTATGTAGATATGGGAAATAATGCATAAAAATATAATCTCCAAGGGTTGTAAAACAAAATTTCAAAATAAAATTAGAGAAAGCTATGTGCATGATAGCAGGGTAGGAATTGACTTCTTAAGCCATTCACAAAATGTACTCCCTCATGCCCATGAGGGAGTGTTTCCCTGCTGCTTTCCAGGGCACAGCACATCCATACATTCACCTCCATCTGAATCCCATTCTCTTCAAGGCCCAGCACAAGCATGTTAATCCATCAAGTCCACCCTCATCCTTTTTATCAGACATCTTGCCCTCTCAATTTCTTCAATTGCTGTATTTTCTTTTTAAGCTGTTTTTAAAAAGGTGCTTTTCTTCTTCTTCTTAAGGTATTGTAAAGAGAGGTAACCATCTCATAAGTCAGGTAATGAGTGCATTTCTTTTGGACAAGGTCACCCCTTTCTTCACTTTCCCCCAGTTTTCCCCTTCTGTTGCTGCCCACAAGTTGCATAGTTCATTTTCCATATAGGTATTTTCTTTTTAATATTTGTCTCAATTCGAGTTCTTTTCTAATCCCAGGAAAACATATTGTAGGCTTTTAATCATTCAATAAATCATCCAATCCAATCCAAGCCAGTATTCTTGTATCTCTATGCTCCCTTTCTGAAGCAGGCTTCTTTGTAGAGATGTCTGTTTACCACACTAAATAGATATATAGATATAGATATATAGATATACTTTTGGGGGAGGAGTCGGTCGTGGGGCTTGAACTCTGGGCTTTGGC